AACCCATAGGTAAGATCGTAAAATCGTAAGATTTTAAGATTAAAATCGGGATTTTGACTACATTGCTTGTAGATCTATTTTCGAGGACAGTCGAAAAAACACAGATCTGAAATTTCGAACGTGAGAATAGCGATTGGAGTCAACAATGAAGTCATCTGATTGTGGATGGGGTCAAGCTAGCTCGTTGGTCCAAAGCAAGGGAAGGAGGAAAAGGAAAAGATAGAAAAAAGAACCAGAGGGAAGAAGACGCTCAAGAAATGGCGATGACCAGATGATGATCTTTTGTGTTTAATGACAGGCACCACGATGAGAGAGGGATAAGTTTTATTGTTTTTTAATTCAGTTTAAATGATAAATAATAAAAATTATGAAAAATTATTTGAATTTGTATTTTTAAATATTTTTATGATGACATGGCACTTTGACCATTAGTCAATGGTATTGACTCCAATCATGTATTTGGCCAATTTAGTCTATATAGTGAATAGTTTAGGCTAGGATGTGAATTTAAGAAACCATATGTCAAAGTTGTATGTTAGTGAAAAGTTCGGGCCAATTTAAGATATTAACCATAATAACACTTATTTTGAGTGATTCTTCCATCACATCAACAAATCAATGGATGCATTGTTGAAGAAGAAGAAAAAAACGATGCATTGTCGACAACGCACACATTGTAACAATCTCCCTTAAACTATCACCAAAACTCAAAGTTATTAAAGCCGACCCGAACCCGGTCGTCATTCCGGTTCGGAAGACTCCAAAAGCCGCAGCGGTCAGAATGGTCGCTCGGTGACCGACCGAAACGGTGAATCGTTCGAGTAGCTTAAACCGTTCGACTCGTTTTTGCATCATTTCCGTCGTCAACTCTGTTCATAGACCAGTCGATGTAGCCTGATCCAGACTGCCGTTGCAGCTCCACTTCAGGCCACCACTCCACATCAGGCGACCGTCGTATTCCCCACCGCTCCACACCAGCGACAATCGTATTCCAGCCACCGCACCTTGCTCTACAAGAAGTCGTTGCACCACCAGAAAGTCACGCTCTAGCAGAAAAAGGCAAGAAGAATTAATTAATTAATATATATATATATATATATAAACCTAACATGTTAGTTACTATTCATTAGTGGTTCCCAAACTCCTCCAAATGCAAGTGGGGAATTAATTAATTAATTATTATTATAATATATAATATATAAAAGTCTAGGTTGTGAGTTACTATTCAACAGTGGCTCCCAAACTTCTCCAAGTGCAAGTGGAGAAGTTTCAAATTCTCCTCTTATCCTCTCTTATTCTTTAACCTATGTGTTCATCTATTGTCCGTTGGGTTTACATCTATTGTCCATTAGGTTTCTCATAGTTATTAATTGTCAACTAAATTTTCATCTATTGTCCACTAGGTTTCCCATAATTATTAATTGTCTACTAAGTTTTCATCTATTGTTCATTGTTTTCCTTGTTGCAACAATTACTCATCTCGAAATACTATCGACGAAATCATTAATTAATTAATATATTAAAGCCTAAGTTGTGAGTTATTTATTAGTGGCTCCCAAACTCCCCAAAGTGCAGGTGGGGAAGTTTCAAGTCATCCTTTTATCCCACTCGCTTATTCTATAATCTATGTGTTCATCTATTGCCCGTTGGGTTTACATCTATTGTCCATTATTAATTAATATATTAAAGCCTAAGTTGTGAGTTACTATTCATTAGTGGCTCCCAAATTAATATATTAACGCCTACGTTGTGAGTCACTATTCATTAGTGGCTCTCAAACTCCTCCAAGTGCAAGTGGGGGAGTTTCAAGTCCCCCTTTTATCTCACTCTCTTATTATATAACCTATGTGTTCATCTATTGTTCGTTGGGGTTTACATTTATTGTCCATTAAATTTCTAATAGTTATTAATTGTCAACTAAGTTTTCATCTATTGTTCATTAGGTTTTCCATAGTTATTTATTGTCAACTATTAATTAATTAATTAATATATTAAAGTCTAGGTTGTGAGTTACTATTCATTAGTGACTCACAAACTCCTTCAAGTGCAAGTGGGGAAGTTTCAAGTCCTCCTTTTATCCCACTCTCTTATTCTATAACCTATATGTTCATCTATTGTCCGTTGAGTTTACATCTATTGTCCATTAGATTTCTCATAGCTGTTATTTGCCAACTAAGTTTTCATCTCTTGTACATTAGGTTTCCCATATTTATTTATTGTCAACTAAGTTTTCATCTATTGTACATTAGGTTTCCCATAGTTATTTATTGTCAACTAAGTTTTCATCTATTGTCCATTAGGTTGTGAGTTACTATTCATTAGTGGCTCCCAATCCTCCAAGTGCAAGTGAAGAAGTTTTAAGTCATTCTTTTATCACACTCTCTTATTCTATAACCTATGTGTTCATCTATTGTCTGTTGGGTTTTTATCTATTATCCATTAGGTTGTGAGTTACTAATTATTAGTGGCTCCCAAACTCCTCCAAGTGCAAGTGAAGAAGTTTCGAGTCCTCCTTTTATCCCACTCTTTTATTCTATAACCTATGTGTTCATATATTATCTATTGGGTTTACATCTATTGTCCATTAGGTGTCTCATAGTTACTAATTGTCAACTAAGTTTTCATCTATTGTTCATTCCTTTCCCTATTGCAACAATTACTCATCTTGAAACACTATCGACGAAATCATAAGTTGTCCTCTTCCACCGTTTGCCACGATTTCCACCGAAGATCCATACTTTTTCTATTATACATAATCCTCACATTCGCCCAATAATGCATAACCCTTCTCCAAACACTTTCGGTGAAATCCTAAATTGTACCCATCCACCGTATCCCAAGAAAGCTATCAAAATTCTGCTTTGTGTTCCCGAATTTTTTATCAGGACTGAGATTCATATTCTTTTTTATTTTCTTATCTCTCTTTTTCCTTTTAGTTAAGCATGATAATTTAACTCAAACTCATGGGTATCCAACATAATTCGTCCAGGTCAAAGCGACTTTGCTTTCAATTTAGTATATTTAAACTTTTATTTTTCCTTTCCTTGAGAATGATAACTGAACTCATACCCATGGTATTAACGAGTTTTGTATCACGAGCAAGTTTTATATGCTTTTGTAGTTGGTAGGTTGGATCGAGTGTGAATTTGTTAAAATCTCGATTCAACCCGGTCAAAGGGAGTTGAACACAGTGTTGACGAGTGTTTGATCGAGAGCGAGTTTTATCTGCTTTAATATTTTTTATTTTTCCTTTTCCTTTTCCTTTCGGTTGAGATTGACAGTTGAACCCATACCCAGTGCTTGCGCATTTTGTATAGAGATCGAACGAGTTTTAACTGATTATAGAATTGACATGTTGAGCCGAGTGTGAATTGTTAAAAAATCGATTCGAACCAGCCATTGCGAGTTCAACTCGATGTGCAAAGCTTTTGGTAGGGAGCGAGTTTATCCGCTTTAGTGCTTTTTTATTTATCCTTTTTCTTTTGGTTGAGAATCCAAACCTATGAGTATCTAACCTAACAAATTCAACCTAATCAAAACGACTTGAACCCGATGTTTACAAGTTTTCGGACGTGAGTGAGTTTTATTTGTTTTTGTAATTGACGGGTCAGGTCGGTTGTGAATTTGTTACAAACTCGGTTCAAGATGATCAAAGAGAGTTGAACATGATGTTGCCGAATTTTGGGTCGTGAGCGAGTTTTAGCCGCTTTAGTGTCTGTTAAATTTCTTTTTTGTTGAGAATGAAATTGAACCAAAACCCATGGGTATTCAACCTAATTTGACCCGGTCAAAATGAGTTGAACCTTTTCAGACCTGCGATTACTCCCAAAAATTTATAAAAAAGAGAATCAAGATGAACTTAAAAAAAAAAACAAACCAAAAAGAACACAAACTAGAAAGAAGATTAAACATAAAAATCATTTGCTCCATGATTCTTTTCCCTTATTAAAGTGTATCGCTGCGTCGACTGCATGAATTTGTAGGTGACAAACTCTTTACTTTTTAGTCAAAATTCAAACTTTCAATTTTTCAAATATCATGTTCTCGCTCACCGCTTCACAATAGTGAGAATTTAATCTCACATCTCCCCAAGTGAATTACTCCATTCATTCATGTTAATTCTTAATAGCTAAAGCCAAGACTGGCCCATATCAATTGGGTTCAGAAATCAGAATGAAGAATCGTAGAAGAAAGGGAAAGAGATTTGATTTATTTCCTTACCTGGGCACTTCTAAGTTTTACGGCAAGAGGTAAGCAAGGGATTTAGCTTTCAATTTCTATAATTATATCACTAACCCATTAACCCTAACGAATTTACAAAAATGTCATAGAAAATTGATCATTTGGTCCTACACTTTTTTAAATGTTCGATAAAAAAACACATCACCCTAACAATTCATGAAAATACGGTTGTATAAGGTATCGATTCGTTAACAGTTTTTTAACGAATTGACACCTACTAAACCAATAAAATATGAACCATTCGTTATACCGAGTCATACTCTTGTTTGATTATGACAACATTGCCAAAACCAAACGATTTCTCGGTAAATAGATTACTTTCGTGCAAGACCCAATTGACCAGAATGCACCCAATTAATATAATATCACTATAGATTTGAAAAACCTTTCCTCTTTCCACTTAGACACTTAACCGGGGTGAGCTGAGCCGGTGACCTGTGGAAGTAAAAGACATAACAAGGAAGCCTTCGGTGGCTTTCTACGGTCTCACTCTCATTCAAGGTTGTCAACCCGCGGGTTGATCCGGATTCGGTTGAGCTAGTGGGTCAATGGTTAACGGGTCACTCATTTTCCCATTTCAGCTCGAAAATATGAAAAGAGTCATTATATTGTACTTATCCTGATAAATTATATAAAATCTCATCTAACATATGAGTAATAACATAAAACATTACACCAAAGTAACATATCGTACTAAGATCCAACATATAGCAAAAATTCACACACTTATATAACATCAATATTTAAGTGTTCGACTAAGATTGCAAAGATTGAGTTAGGCGAAAAGAAAAATCGAAAAATAGGCGCATTTCACAAACCAAAGAAAAAAAAAGGACACAATTTGACCTCGAACTCGATACCTTGTAGCGGTCGACCCGGCTGGTGCGTGCGGCCCGTTTTTCTCATCGGATCAGGGTCAAAGTGGGTCGACCTGCGGGTTGACAACCTTGCTCTCATCCATGGTTGTCACGCCGGCCGGCGTGCCACCGGTTGAACCTGGTTCAACCGGTACCGGTCATAAAACTGGCGTGACATCACCGGTATGACCGGCATGATCGATATATGAATCTTTAAGTAAAATGACCTTATTTTAGTGAAGTTAATTGATAAAAATTATTTTATTATTTATTTTATGAGTATAAAAGTTAAATATTGATGTTATTTGTTGGATTCAAGTACAAATGTTTAGGTATTGACGTTAAATGTCATCTTTAAATATGAGTATTTATAATTTAATTTGTGATATTGACCGGCATGAACCGGCACAAACCGTTATGTACCACCAGTCGAACCATTCCACTTGCTAAACCGGCACACTGGCATAAACCGGTTTGACAACCTTCCTCTCATCCAACGAAAAGAGAGAATCGGATGTGCAGTAACAGACTAACAGGAGATCCCTTCCCCTAGTTTCGCTGGAGTACGTGATCGCCGGTGATTGGCAAAGAATGCCGGCTAGTACAGCTCTTAGCCGGTAACTTCGACCTCCATACCGTACTTCCAGGCCTTCGACCTAATCCTCTTTCTGTGCACCGTTTGATTTTCAAGTACGGCTTCTTCCTCTAGCTTCGTGTTTGGCATTTCCTGCTGTTAATTTTTTTTTTTTTTGCCTTCCGATTTTCTTGAACCCTTGACTTCACGGAAGCTCAGCCAGTGCTCTGGATTCAGAATCCTCTGACTTCATCTTTGCAGCGACGACTCCTTGATTTTTGCTTTCCGATTCTTTCAATATGATTCCTCAACTTCTTCGCTTTGCATTCAACCTCTTATGTTCCAATTCTTTTTTACAATTTGGTCCTCAAACTTTATGATTTTTTCTTTCTCCAGTCTCTGGTGTGATGCCATTGTTGTTTCCTGATTATAAAGACACATTTGAGTATTGGAATATGGAAGTTTTGCTTTCAGTTCTGGAAATGAATATATACTTTCCCTCGACTGTGTAAAGGAATTTGAAGCTTACTCTGTATCCAAGTAATAGACCAGACTGATATATATTTCTCTAGCTAGAGCTAGACTGTTGTTCTTCTCATACTCCAGGGCAAAAGCCTTCCCATTTGAGAGGACATCAGGCGTGTCTCTCCCATACAATTGGAGTATGAGATTGCAATTTTCTTCGGTTTGCTTTAGTGTGAGAATCTATGTTGGAAGTCACTAGGAAGTAATTTTACATTTTTTTCCGTTTCTGACTTATGCTATCCTTCTGCAGAAATGAACTTGTGGGAAGCTTTGACGACAATGGCGGCTTTGCTGCTTCCCATACTGATTCTCCTCTGCAAGTGGCTATTCCGAAGGTGGAGGTTCTCCAACGCTTCGAACAATAACCCCCAACCACCAGAACCTGCTTGCACTGTTGATTCTTCTGCTTTCGTGCCCCTTCCAACTGGGTACTACGAGGTCTTTTTGAGTTTTAGGGGTCCAGACACCCGCCTTGACATCACCGATGTCCTCTACCATTTTCTTGTTCGCTCCAAAATCCGCACATTCAAACTTGATGAGGATCGTCGTGTGGGGGAAGACATCTGGCCTAGTTTGGTTGAGGCCATGAAGGAATCCAAGATTCATGTTCCGATTCTTTCGGAAAATTATGCTCATAGTAAATGGTGTCTCAAAGAGCTTGCTGAAATGGTTGAGTGCCGTAAGCACGATAAGGGGCACATCATTTTACCCATTTTCTATAAGGTAAACCCTAGAGACGTGCGGAAACAAAGTGGGGCGTATGAAGAAGCATTTAAGCGACACAAGAAGAATGTTGATGATAAAACCATACTGATCTGGAAAAACGCTCTCAAGGAGGTTGGAGAATTGAAAGGGTGGCATGTAACGGACAAGGACGGGTAAGCACTTACATACTTGCCTTCTTTTCTTAATTGTTGAATGGTAACCTTTAAAATTTTCATAAGAAAACATGTTGAGCTTAAAACTAGGTTTGAAGCTAGGTGTTCTCCTTTGATTTGTTTTGAACTCTTTCTTTGTACCAGTTTATATGAGTGTCTTCCACTTCCACCTAGTAAATATGTTGCACCGACTACCGAGGATATGGGGGCTTTCTGATTTCATAGCTTTATAGTTTGGAAATTTAGCTGACAGCTTGCACTTTTCATTGTTTTATTACATCCCTCGCAGTGATTTTAATATCAAAATCATATTTGCCAGGCAGGGAGCTATAGCTGATGAAGTTTTTGAAAACATATGGTCGCATCTAAGTAACAATTATGAATTAATGACAGATGAATTGGTTGGAATTGATGGACACTTAAACGCAGTAGTTGAAAGAATAGATTTAAACTCTAAAGCTGTGACAACTGTTGGCATTCATGGCCTTGGTGGTATCGGAAAGACCACTGTCGCAACTGTTGTCTACAATAAAGTTTGTGCTCACTTCGATCGCCACTGCTTTGTGGAAGATGTAAGAGAAACTTTGCAACAGAGAGATGGTATCGTTGCTGTGCAAAATAAGATACTCTCTGGCATTGTGGGAAAGGCAAGTCTTGTATCTAATGTTAGTGAAGGAATCCACATGATAAGAGATAGAGTTAGCCATTACAAGGTTCTAATTGTTCTTGATGATGTGGATGACAAGTTCAAATTTGATGGCATCTTGGGAAAGTCTGAAAACTTTGCTTCCGGGAGTAGGTTTATTATTACTTCTAGAAATATTAAGGTTTTGACTTTACTCAAAGGATGTAGGCTATATGAAGTTGGAGCCATGAGTTATGAACACTCCTTTGAACTTTTCTGCAAGCATGCATTTAGAAAGGATTCTGCTCCACGTGATTATGCAACTTTGTCTAAAGACATTGTATCCACAACAGGAGGACTTCCACTGACTATTAAGGTTGTAGGATCACTTCTATTTAAAGAAGATAAAGCAGTTTGGGAAGAAACATTGTTGCGGTTAAAGGAAACACCAGAGTCAGAGGTCTTAGAGAGGTTAAAGATAAGCTATGATGCACTGGAATACGAGGCAAAACAGATATTTCTTGACATTGCTTGTTTCTATGTTGGAACAAATAAAGAAATAGCTTCTTATATGTGGAGTGATTGTAAGTTATATCCAATCAGTACTATTAATGTTCTCGTCCAGAGATCCATAATCAAAATCGGAGAGAATAATGCGTTTAAGATGCATGATCAACTTAGAGACCTGGGTAAATCAATTATCCGGGAAGAAGATATAGAACATCCTTGGATGAGAAGTAGAATATGGTCCAAAGAGGATGCTTTTGAGCTGTTGCTTGGCAAAAAGGTACTCTTTACATTCTTGTACTTGCATTTATAAGCTATTTGTTTCTGTGTAATGTATATCTATAATCTATATCTCTATTCTCTAGTAACATATAGAAAAGTACTAGTAAGGTTACAAATTTCAAATTAACTCAGGGAATTGTGTTTGTAAAAGGTATTTTGCTGGCGACATAATTAACGTTGCAGTACTTTATACATATAATTGGATTGGCTTTCTGCTCTTTGGAACTATGGGACAATTGTCATATGTCTACAGCGGAGGATATAGCCATTTACAGTTGGCAGCTCTTGTTGTACTGACATTTTGTTATGGTTAGCCACTCACTTTTTAATTGGTTATTGCCTCAACGCTCCTTATTAATCAAAATCATTTCATTCAGCAAAGAAACTCATCTAGCATTTTATTAGAAAATATCAGTCCTACCAACAGAAAGTTTATCTCTAATACGTCATATGGTTGGTTTCATAAAGGAATTTCTCCTTGTTTACAATTCGTTTGCAATATACATCTAAGCGAACTTGTGATATGAGTTTTCTTACAGTGGTTCATGGGTTATGACTGAAACTTCTTCCTTTAAAATATTCAGGGAAGCAACAAAGTGAAAGCTCTTGAAGTACAATCATATCCTCATCATCAGTTTACTGATGAGCATTTCCAGAATTTGACTGATCTGAGATATCTAAGTGGAACTTTTGTGGACCTTACGGGAGATTTTGGCGACCTTCAGGATCTAAGATGGCTACAATTTGAAAACTGTCGAGGTTCAGGTGATGGCATAACCAATTTTCAGATGAATAAATTGGTAATTCTTGATCTCAGGAAAAGTGTCATATCAGATGACTGGGGAGGATGGTACCACATCAAGGTTAGTTTAATCAGAGCATAATTTTATTTTTCTAGTGTGCGATGATCACGTACTGGCCTTCAACATGCTTGTTCGTTTTTTTTTTTTCATGCGGTGCAGATGGCAAAAAAGCTGAAAGTTCTGGATCTCTCACATTGCGGTTCCATAACCAAACTTCCGGACCTCTCCGAATATGGGAACCTTGAGCATTTAAATCTTTGTGGATTGAGAAGAACCAGTAGCAATCAGGACCTGAACATTGGCATGTTAATAAAGTTGAAGGTTTTGAATCTCGAGAGTTGTAGGATAAGGAGGATAGTGGGGAGTAGCATTGGAATGCATCAGGGGGTTCGGGAGCTGTATATCAGCTCGTGCAGTTGCGATAACTTGGGAGAATTTCTTGCCGACATCGCAAAATTGCCGTCTCTCAAGATTTTTACAGCAATGGGAGTTGAGTTAAAGGCAAGACTTGAGCTACCCAAAAGTTTGAAAGAGCTCCGTGCCTCGTTCACATTAGTTGCTAACCTCGAGGACCTGACGGACTTGGAGATGTTAAGAGTTCAATCTTTGGCCGATGTGAGGCTCGACTGGAGTAAGTTATCCAAGCTGAAACTTTTGATGCTGTATAAGTCCAGCACTAAAACAATGGGTCCTCACCAGTTCCCCCCATCTCTGACCGAGCTTCGTATCTCCAGTTTCCCAATGCTGGAGATGCTGCCAAATCTAGACAACCTAGGAAATTTGACACTGCTGTATATCTTCGACTGTCACAAGCTTCGAGAGATTCAAGGACTTGGGGTAGGGATGAAATCCTTGCAATCTCTGAACATATCTTCTGCCGAGAGTTTAATGCATCTTGATGGCCTTGAAAACCTCTCTTCTTTGGTTGATGTGGAATTGGAATCTTGCAATGCTATGGAGAGGCTGCTTCCCGTCACTTGTAACAACAATCTAGCTGCTCTGAAGAGGCTAAGTAAGGTAAAGATAATGTCCTGCCCTCGTCTCACAGAGATATTCCGAGGCCTTGATGATGAAGCTGACAATGGCCAAAATGTAGTACTGGACTCTTTACGAGATCTTGAAGTTTATAGATGCGAATCGCTGCAGATGGAGGGTTTACCTCATCTATCGAAGTTCCCGGGTCTTACAAAGTTGAAGCTCTGGGATCTGAAGGGAATGGTGAAGCTGGAAGGACTGGATTCTCTTGAACAGCTGCAAGGACTACACTTGAGGGGCATGCCATCAGTTGATAGATTACCTAATCTGTCAAAGCTTGGGAAACTTGAATTTCTTGAATTGCAGCAGATGCTGAATCTGCGTGAGTTTGAGGGCATTGATGAGTTGAAATCATTGCTACGGTTAGAGCTCAGGGGATGCACGTCACTGGAGAGATTAATGGCATCTGCTTTAGAGGAACTGCAGGAGCTGATCATAATGGGATGCACATCACTGCAGAATCTTAGCGTAGCTGGGTGTTCAAAGGTGGCCAATCTTTACGTCTCCAATTGCCCCAAGGTCCATGCGATTCAGGGCCTCGGGAGTGGGTTGAAATCGCTGCGGTATTTGTCAGCAGAAAGTTTGATGCACCTCGATGGCCTTGAAAACCTCCCATCTTTGACCGACTTAAACCTTCGATCTTGCAATGCAATGGAGAGACTGCTGCCCATCATGAATCCAGCTGGTCTAAACCAACTCCAGAAAGTGGAGATTGTGAAATGCTCTCGTCTCAAGGAGATATTCCAGGGGCTTGATCATGATGACGGCCTAGTGTTGTGCTCTTTGGAAGAACTGGTAGTTAATGGTTGCATATCACTGGAAAGTTTGCCTCATCTGTCAAAGTGCCCAAGTCTGAAGAAGTTGAAAATCATGGATTCGAAGGGATTAGTGAAGTTAAATGGGCTGGAGTCTCTGCAACAGTTACAAGTACTGGTGTTGACTGGCTTGTCGGGTCTGCTTGATGTTGATGGCCTTAAGGATTTGCTGTCGTTGGAACGACTGGCACTTGCTGGGTGCACGTCACTGGAGAGATTGCCGGATCTTTCTTGTTTGAAGAATCTGAACTGGCTGATTTTCACAGGATGCACATCACTGGAGAGTTTGCCAGATCTGTCTTGCTTGAAGAATCTGGAGAAGTTGGACCTCCGAGGATGCTCGAAGTTGACTGATCTTTCTGGTTTGCACAAGCTGCAGGGTGTAGAGATACAATGGCCAGATGGACGATTACCAGAATGGTCCGGTCATAGTGAGCCGCACACGCAGAGCTATCCCTCCATGTATTGAGAGGGTCCTATATCATTAGGTCTCCATCTTACTCCTGCAACCATCTTCATCACTCCTTTCCGCTGCGAATTCTAGGCTTTTCCACCGCAGATTTGAGCTAACAGGTTACGTTCAACTCCTCTCCACAGTCCTTCAAGTCATTCTTCTTATATTTGATTCATGTGAGCTTTCACTGTAATTATTTGTTTTACCTTGAACACGTAGGCATTTCAAGTTGTAGAGGCGGAAGGTCCGTTTCCATGTCTATCTCATCCACATTTTCACATATACTCTAAACGAACAAAAAGCCAGCAGCATCTGATCTTATTTCAAGCATTCCTGTGTCTGGTAACACAATAATTTATGTTATTATCTACGGTGGCTGTATATATAGGTCTTATTAAATGAATAGGACTTTGCCCTACTAAAAGAAATTGTTCTTGATTGTTTAGCATATCATAGGGCATCGACAAGATGCTAATGTTGTATGTAATGCACGTAGATTATATTATATCCATAACATGGCATCGATTCAATGAAACATCATAGATGCTTTATTATTGTCTTTTTGAAATTGCAGTATTAATGTTAGAGTCACTTTTTATTTGGGTAAATGCAAAATTTGGTCACTGGGATTACTAAATCGTGTTATGTTTAGTCACTAGAAAAAATTAATATCAATTTTTGTCACACGAATTACTAAAATAGGTCATATTTAGTCACTCTCCTGTTAGCCTCCGTCCAACTCCGGTCACTCGAATTACTTTTTTTTTTTAATGAATGTCACTCGAATTACTGAAACATGTCACATTTAGTCACACTTTGTTAGTTTTCGTCCAACCTGTTAAACTAACGGGAGAGTGACTAAATCTGACATATTTCAGTAATTCGAGTGACCAAAATTGATATTAATTTTTTCTAGTGACTAAACATGACATGATTTAGTAATCTTAGTGACCAAACGTGGCATTTACTCCTTTTTATTTAGAGAAGATAAAGAAGTTTGGGACGAAAAGAGATAGAGGTATTGGAAAGGTTGGAATAGAATATGAGGCAGAATTCATGGTTGTCATGTCAATGGTATGTCGGCCGGTTAGATCTGGTTCAATCGGTGCCAATTATGAAACTAACTAAACTATCGCTGGAATGAAGCTACAGTCAAAACCACTCAATTCCGGTCAAAACTGGTTAATTTCGAGAATGCCAATGGTCCAACCGGAAATCTAATCTCAGGTCTCTTACTTTTTACGTTTGTTTTTCAATTTTCTGTTTTTAACGTACACATATTTGTTAAAAAAAAACTTAAGATTTGGGTTTGACCAGGTTGTTGTTCGCCCCAATTCTGCTCTTTCGTTTAGCATCCAACTCCTTTCCTCTGCGTGTTCACTTTCTCCTGGCGATGAACAGATCGGCGACGCGTCCCGGAGAGGCAAGTCACTCTGCAACGTTCAGAATTTGTCGACACTCGAATGAACGGTTTTTTCCCCTAAATACACATTCTTAAAAAAAATTCCCAAAATATGTACATTATAAAAAATGTTCAATCTACTAATGTTTCATCTTCACCGCAACCGTTAAGGGCGGTGAAGACGTTCACCGCTTTACTATGCAACGGTGAAAATATCACGGTCTTCCTCAAAAGCGGTGAAGTTGTCATCGCTGTCGTGGGCTGCGGTGAAGCGTCGAGTTTGGGAGGACAACCATCCGCTCTAAAAACCCGTCGAACCTCTCTCCGGCTGTCGCCAAAAACTGGATGAAGAGGCTGAAAGGGTACCCACTTGCTTTTGATTTGGTGATTTATTGTTTTGTATATTAGTCGTCTATTAACTTTTTTATAGATGGTGCCCATATATACGATTCTCGATTGTATATCGATCCTGGGTCAAGGGATGCGAAATATCTAACCGAACAAACAACACATCGCACCCGTGCAATTTGGCACAACAATCGGGTAGACATTGCATACCGTATTAATTTGTTAATTATTTCAGTATTTTAAAAGTTTTAATTTTGTCTTCCTTAGACAAACAACTTGATGTTTTTTGCTTTTTTTTTGTAAGAACCACTTCTTCCTATAACATCCCGAACCTTTTCCCGACGAAGATATTGTCCGCTTTGGGTCTCGACCCTCACTATTTTCGACTTGGGGTGCAATTGAAGGTGACTTCCCATAAGGTCACCCATCCTTATTGTACTCCACATTGAACACGTTTTCATTTCACCCTAAAATGCGTCTTGTCAGTTAAGGTCGGTTTCTTATTTATGAATCATGGATCTCTCCCGTGCTTTGTCGTTGTGAGATTCTCCTAAGGTGTTACATACACCCCCTGGGGACTCAACGCCCTCGTTGAGGTTTGCCCCACCACCGTTCAAGAGGGACGCGTATAGGCTCTGATACCCGAACATTTTCCTGACGAAGATATTGTCCGCTTTAGGCATTGACTCTCACGGATTTTGACCTAGGGTGCAATTCAAGGTGACTTCCCATAAGGTCACCCATCCTTGTGTACTCCACATTGAGCACGTTTAACTTCAGAGTTCTCACAAGAACTCCATTCCCAAAACGCGTCTTGTTAGTTAAGGTCGGTTTCTTACTTATGAACCATGGATCTCTCCCGTGCTTTGTCGATGTGGGATTCGACTAACGTGTTACACTTTCCATCACTAATAGAGGGACAACACGCTTGCCCCTTTGGCATGATCGACTCTCGCCGTATCTAGAGGGGATGGGTTTGGATATGGTGAGACACTTCATGTGGATTGAGATCGACAACGATCTGCTGACGACAATGGCAGAGCCCAGACTACATACCTTCCAATTTTTCAAGGTGGAAATGACGATCACCCTCAGAGACGTTGCCATCCTCACCGGGCTGTCGGTCACTGGAGAGGCCATCAGTGGCCAATCGAGAAAACCCGAAGAAGGCTGGGGGCCGCTGATTCTCGATCATTTGGGCTTTAACATGCCGACCTAGACTGAAGTCCAAGGACGTGAGCATCCACATCTGAATGCTGGGGAAATATCGATCACATAACTTGTTGATCACATCCAACATGAGGTGCAGATCGATGCGCACACCCCCGAAGATCAAGTAGAGCGGTATGCACGCGCTACCTCATTGGCTTGGTCAGTGGATTTCTGTTTGTCGACAAGGCAAACAGGTGGATACATGACATGTGGTTGTCGTTGCTCCTCAGTGACTGGGAGACGATCAGGAGAAAGAGTTGGGGGTCGTCCTTGTTAGCTGGGGTATATAGGGAGCTATGTACATGCTCGAAGGTGGGAGCGAAACAAGGTGATGGTGTGATGTTCATCCTCTAGCTCTGAGCATGAGAGCATCTTCTGATGTTCGGACCTAGAGACCCGCGGGAATTCTGGGCGCAAGATGCTGAGCTACGAGCTGCGGCAAATGCACCCTATGATGTCAAGTAAGTTTAATTTATTTTCAACTTTGTAAACTAATTAATTAAAATTTATTTACTTTGATTGATTACAAGCTAAAATTTATTACATGCTTAGTATGCATTTTATATTACATGATTAGATTGATTACATCCTAAAATTTATTACATGCTTAACTTTATTTAATTTATATTTATTCCAAATATGCAATTTCATAATTTAAATTTATTACTTAAATTGGTTAAATGCTTAATAAATTCTTACATGCTTAGCTTCCAAGCTTTTAAAAAATTCTTATATTCGTACTTTTACTTACAAGGATGAGAGCAAATACAAACGACCACCAACTTGAGCGCTCTTTACTATTTTATAGTGTCGAGTTTGATAAGCGTTGGTGGAACTAGGTAAACATGGCAATTCAATATTTTAACTTTTTAAAATAGAGTGGATGTAATTGGTGCTAAATGCAAATTATTAATGAATGTAGGTGACATGTGACCCATATCCATATGAAGTGGTCGAACTGCATCGTCTTAGACACCCCGAAGATCACGAGACGAGGTTGTGCAAGGGTGGCCTTCATCTGTTGGCACATCGTGGAGTGACACCTGCTGGATCGATCCTTGAGGCAATATTGATTTGGAGCAACAAATTCCAGCATCTCCGCCTCAAGCCTTCAAGGAGCTCCATGGCATCGACCTACGCCACCAAGCAAAGGATTAGATCCGCAAGCATGAGTTCTGACTCGCCTTTACCGTCACACTAGAAAATGGCCAAGTGAAACCACTTACTAGAGCGTAGTATAGCGGGTATGGGTTTTAATGTCAACCCGGGTCCTAAGTGCGTTGACTACTCCATGAATTCTTATTATTTAGTAATGTGAATGTAAAGAAGGTCTGAGTAAACAAACAAGCAAAGCAGTAAACGGTTGTTTTCAAGTTGAGAGAGGTCACCTGGATATGGTTCCCCCTAGACTGCAGTTAAGCCAAATTATAATTCACCAAGTTCAAATTCAAAGATAGTTATACTGCGGGAGGTCCTTAAACAGTTTGCAGTCTCAACTAAAGGTCTCCAGACCCTCTCAATCTGAATCCCCAGCGGGCGACTAACCTCCACTGGAATAAACAGATTGAGGCCCTAACGAACAAAACCTCCTCTACTGGAATAAATCCAGTACAGAATAGTGAATTGACTCCTCGACTAAAGTCGCCAATTCACTACCTTCAATCAAGGGTACTCTATCAACCTAGGCAGATATTATCTTTCTAGGTCAAAGCAGGAACAACAGGAATGTGATGAGGATTCATGCATTCATCAATTCAAACCTCAATTGAATATAATCAAACCAATGGATTCATACTTGGGTTCATACAATCAGACCTAACACACAAATCTATGGTTCTCCATACCCAGACGAATGAGGAAGTTACTCCATGGAGAGAGAAGCAAAAGCTAGCTCAGATGCAGAAATCATGCTGTGAAGGATGGGATTCTGCTTCTGGTCGTTAATCGGCACTTCTCCAAGTGTTAGCCGAGCTCCAGTGGTGATGAGGATCGATCTAAAGCACTTGGGAACTCTGGTTTGTCGCTTTCTCTCTCTAGGTATCACTTTCTTTTTGTAAAACTCGGAACCCTTCAAATTTGCCCTTCTTTTCCCTTAAGAACCTGCCATTCGTGATCCCCGGTCGGGTATTTTAGGTGCCCGGTTGGGGATTTTTGAAACGAACCGTGTTGGCAGAGGATTAATCCCCGATCGAGGTTAAGAATACCCGATCGGGATTTAAGCATTCTGGCCGGGACCCCTCCTGGGATTTCATCTTTTCCCCGGCCTCTCCTTGCCTTTTACCCGGCCGGGTATTTTGCTCCTCCAGCTCCCTTTTACTCCAACGGTCTCCCTTTGACCCGAAACTCGATTCCTCGCCTCCACGTCAACGCCAAATCCTGAAATGTGACATAAACACACAACCTAGTGTGAAATCGGCTTAAACCACGAGAATCAATATCTCAAACGACTCAAGAATGGAGGTAAAAATATGTGCAATTAACGGTCTATCAAGTTCTACATCAGCATTTGGGAGAATAGAGCGACTTGGGTGGTCCAAGGGATGCCGGTGACGGTACATGCAGTGGTATCGAAAGTTCACGCTTAGATGAGTGTCAAAGCAAGGTGTTGTGATGGGTGCTTTGGTAAGTGATCCCAAGTCTCTCTCTCTTTGTCTTATTCTTTTGTGCTTAGATTACATCATAAAATTTATTACATACTTAGCTTTATTTCATTTTTTTATTACTTCAATTAATTAGGTTGACGGTTTGGAACATGCCAAACACACCGTTGAGAGTGCACCCACCATCGATGAGTAGAAGACATATTTTCTGTGAAGGATTTTCAACAATATGTTGAGTTGTACCCGAGAGCAAAGGAGGGATGTCATAGTATACCCTCCACTACCTACTCTGGCCTGCCCGTCCTTCCGTGATGGTGAGCACATTGTGCCCCAATTTGAGCCCCCATGGAGGAGAAAACAAAATCCTCAGCCAAACATTGAAGAGCTTCGTCTGACTCAACAAACAGAACTTCCTGAACCATTTGCATATGAGTGGACAACTGCAACGGAGGGCATTGTAGGTTCGTTGAGATATAGCCCGTCTCCGGAATGGGACATACATGTTTCCCCACAATTCCACCATCAACACCAGATTCCTATGTATCAGCCCCACAACAACAGCCTCATGCATCGAGCTACAACCACTCTACTGGTCCATCTCAACCACCTCTACCTCCACCACCTATGGTTACTCCGGTGGCGGCTCAGATTAAAAGGAATCCGCGAGCGGTTCTGCAAGAAGAAGGAGGCGGACAGGGAGGAAGAAGGGGTCGAGGACGCCGTGGAGGCAGAGGAAGAAGGCGAGAAGGGGGGGGGTCAAAATGAAGGAGACCAGTGAACTATCCATGTTATCTTTGCTTAGTTATGTCATGTTTTTTCCATTGAACTATCCATGTTGTCTTTATGTAGTTCGATCTTGTTTTTTCCATTGAACTATCCATGTTGTCTTTATGTAGTTTGATCTTGTGTTTTCATTGAACTATCCATTTTTATGTTTTAGTTTACTATCCATGTTCTATGTTTTAGTTTACTATTCATGTTGTCTCAAGATAGATCACAATAAGAAGAGTGCCTCTGTACTTCCCAGTAATGAAAGTTCTATCTACATGCTGAAAAACTTGTTAATTAGTACAAATATTATATAGTAAAAAAATGAACTAGTAGAGCATTAATTAGTCCGCAATATACTTAGATCACTGGAATGCAGAAATCAAACTGGCCAATGCTTGGCTTGAATGCCCAAAATAAACAATGATACATTAACTCATTATGTACGCGAACTTGATCTTCAGTTTGTATATTGTTGTACCACGACATGAAAACAGTCCCTGGATTGGTGATAGACCATTGATTGGACATGTTTTTACCTAGGGCTGCTAAACGGTACGGTAACCGATTTACCGTTTTACCAGTTTCGGTATTACCGGAATTCCCAAAACTGCCACCGGACCCCGATACCGCTCTCCACCAGGTATACCGCTTACCGTTTCATCACGATATTGGTAAGGGAACGGCATCCCGAAATTACCGACAGTGTTGTCCCTGGCCTGTCCGGCTGTCTGTCCCTGTCACTTGTCAGTCCCGCTGTCTGTCCGCCAGACCCCATTGCGGCCAACCATTCCACATTTTCATCACCAACGCCACATGCCCACATTCCACAATGTCAAATTGTCAATAGACAATAGTCAATTAAATTGAAAATAATAAAAAAACCCAATTACCCAAATGTCAATTACTCAATTGTCAATAGCATTATCATATCATTATCATCCTCGTTAATAGCATCATCAACATCTCTTAAGTAGATGTCTAGCTCAGAAGAACCTCGAATCCCCCTCTGTAGTTGCTCCTTTCTCATCTTGAAGAATTCAGCATCAAATGTCCCTCCATAAGATGCAGATCTAGTACCATCATCAGCACTAGGAGTGGTAAAAGTAGGCTCGGAGGGTTGAGGTGCATACTTCAATCTGTAAACCTTAAACATTGCAGTCATCTCTGTAGTCACATCTTTCACCAAATCGTCTCTTTTCTTCTTCCCATACATCTTACCCCACATCCAATACAAATAAGCCATTTTACGCCTAGGATCTAGCACACAAGCCATGTAAACCAGCCTATTTATCCTTAGGTTCTCCACCACGTCATCATGATCATCATCATTCTCAAACCAATACTTTCGTACCTTTCCCTCCATTCTTACTGCCATCCGTTGTATCTCTACATCCATGTCTTTCTTAAAAAGTTCTATCACTTCATAGATGTCAGCAATAGCCTTGAAGAAAGTATGAGCAGTCACATAAGATGTTCCTAATAAATCCAAAAATAACAAAAAATTATTCACAACTTAGTAATTAGTAATTACAAGTTAATAAAAGTAAAAACCACGAATTTTAATAGGTTGAGTTATGTTTGTTCACATACCTGATACCTGAAAGGTGAGCTCATAAAAGAACTTCAAATACTTCATTAGCCGTCGAATACCGCTCCAATCTTCCTTAGTTGGAAGACCTCTCTTTGAGTCCACATAATCCCGAAATGCAGAATCATTGGGGCTTGAATGCATGAAGTTAAAAACAAGCTCAAACCTTTCTGCATATTCCAATATCAAATAAGTTGAGTTCCACCTAGTTGGAACATCCAAAGATACGAGTCTTCTTCCATCCATTTGTAGATATTCAATGGCAGATTTGAACTTTGCACTTCTACCTGGTGATGACTTCACCCATTTAACACAATCTCGAACCCTTTCTACAACAACTCCAACCTCCTTCAACCCATCTGACACAACCAAATTGATTATATGTGCCACACATCGAAATTGAAAATACTTCATACCAATCAAATCTGTTCCCCACTCTTTCATCTTTGTTCTCATACACTCTGCAAGAACATTATTAGAAGAAGCATTATCCATGGTAATGGAGAACAACTGTTGTGCTTTCCAACCTTGTAGACATTCTGCCAATTTTTCTGCAATGTCCTTCCCTGTGTGACTGGTGATGGGAACAAAGCTAATGATCCTCTTCTGCAGCTTCCAGTCACTCCCAATGAAATGAGCAGTCACACACATGAAAATCTGGTTGTTATCAGAAGTCCATGTATCTGTGGTGATTGAAATTCTTCCTTTGCACTTGGATTTGAAGAACTCAGATAGCAACTCTTTTTTCTCCAAAAAGATTATATAGCAATCCTGCCTTATTGTCTGTCTTCCAGGTATCACAAATAATGGTTGGGTTACCACCATAAATCTCTTAAACCCTTCATGCTCAACAAAGCGAAATGGCAGCTCATCCAAGATGATCATAACAGCTAATGCAGTTCTAGCTCTTTGTTGATCAAACTTCCATGGAGTAAGAGAGCCTACCTCACCATCCCCAGGTTTATAGTTCAATAGTGATTGACCACTGGCTTCCTTCCTCTTACTCTCACATGCCAAGTGATGTTGCTTCAAAACAGAAGTCCCGTTATTGGTCGAGTGAGCTTTGATCAACGTTCCACATTGTTTGCATTTTCCATATGGGTAGTCATCCACCAGAACCTCATCATAAGGAGTCCACCACAGGGACTTCTTCTTCCTTTTTGTCACCTTCACAATTTTCTTTGCCTCACCCACTTCATCTGCTCCCCTTCCCATATCAGTCACCTGTGTAGGCGTGGCAGCTACAGGAGGTGCAGTAGCAGGTGGAGATGTAATGGCACTGGTAGGTGTAGGTGTACTAGATGAGACATTCCCCTGAATCCCTTCTGCAGCTCCAACACGAGCACCCACTTTTTTGGAAGTGGTTCGAGGAGGAATGGAACCACTTTTTTCGGAGCATCTCCTTTACGAGGACGAGAAGATTTCGTCCTGCAACAAAAAGAAAAAATGTAAAAAATTAAAAATCATAAAATTGCCAACATGTCAAAAAAGGCATAAACATTAAACCATTAAACAACTATCTTAAATCTTACATTTTTGTACTTGGTTTCTCAAGTAAATAAATTAGCACAAAACAACAAAAGTTCTTATGCTGGGCTCATGGGCTGTGCTCGGCTCTGCCTCTATGTAAACCTGCAAAAATGAAAACTAAAGCAAACTAATTAGTAATTATTAGTTAATAATCAAACAATTGAATTAAATTACTTGCTTTGCTTCATCAATTATTCAATGAAAATTGAGTATTGACAATTATAGTATTATACAACACAATTCTTTCATCACTGTTGACCATCAAATCAACCGCTATCATGCTAATTATTCAAATTATTCTAGTAACAAATTGCTCTAATCTGATCATCCTACCTACTTTCATATATCCCATGTTTCCTTCACCACTCTAACACAAATGAAAGTATGCAACAGAATTCCATTGTTTCACGAAAGTAAGGGATCACTGATCAGCATTGAGGAAGTGTCAATCTCGCATCAACAAGGTTGAATCTAGAGAGCAAAGGTCACCAACTCTCTTCTTCTTCAGCACAAACAATTACATCACAAACAATTGTTTTACAATTGTCATTAAGCAAAACAATTACAGAGGGACGGTGAGCCGGAGAAGATAGCCTCTAAAATGAACAGAGATCGGAGAAGGGACGGCGACGGTCTCACGGAGTTCAACGGACATCATCACAGCGGAGCGCCGATGGGAGGAACTTGCCGGAAACAGAGCCTGTATTTGGGTTGCTGTCTGCTGAGTCTTGTTCCCGTCGCTAGCGACGGAGACGAAGGGGTTCGATGGCAGGCTTCGACGGAAACAGAGCAACGAGCCAAGATCCAATGACGATTAACGGAGGAAGAGGGATCAACGATCGTGGACTCGTGGTCGTGCAACAGTCAGGGCGTCAGGGGATGAAAATAGGATGGCTTAGATTGTTAGGGCTTTTTTAGGGTGGGTGGCCGACGTTTCGTTATTCACTTATTCTGAAGATCCGCGCTTGAAAATCACTTTCCCATTCGGTTTCGGAATACCGATCATTCGAAGGTAAATTGCAAGGCCGGTCCCAGCATACCACCAGCCAAGAATTCACGTCCGGTTACCATTTTTTTCGGGCGGCTACCGGTACGGTAACCGGTTAAATCGATAACCACAAACCCGTTTGGCAGCCCTAATTTTTACCCCTATTCTTGAGCCGTTTGAGATGTTGATTCTCGTGTTTAAGCCGATTTCACGCTACGTTGTGTGTTTATGTCATATTTAAGGGCTTGGCGTTGGCGTCGAGGTGAACAAACGAGTTTCGGGTCGAAAGGATCACATTTGAGTTGAAGTGTGATGGAGGAGCAAAATACCCGACCATGAGCAAAAATACCCGACCGAGTATTAATCTGAGCAGACCGGGGAAAATCACTTTCGGGTGTTTGAGAAGCAGAAGGGGGCCCGGGCATTGAGCATAAATCCCCGGTTGGGTATTCTTGACCTTGACCGGGGATTAATCCCCTGTCCTCGACGGTGTGTTTCAACAATCCCCGGTCGCAACCTAAAATACCCGACCGGGTATTCTGACCGAGGATCGCGATTGGCAGCTTCTTATGGGAAAAGAGGGGAAAAGTTGAAGGGTTTCGAGTTTTAGAGAGACAGAGCGTATACCTAGAGAGAGGAAGTGACGAACCTGATTCTTCAAGCGCCTTAGATTGATCTCCATCACCATTGGAGCCCGGCTTGAGCTTGGAGAAGTGCTGATTGATTGTCAGAAGCAGAATCTCATCCTTCACAGTATGGTTTCCGCGTCTGAGCTAGATTTCCCGTCTCTCTCTATGGAGTAACTTTCTCATTCACCTGGGTATGAAGAACCCTAGATCTGTATGTTAGGTCTGATTGTATGAACCCGAGTACGAATTTAGTGATATGATTATATTCAGTTGAGGTTTGATTTCTTGAATGGCATGAATCCTGATCAAATTCCTGTTATTTCTACTTTGACCTAGAAAGAGAATATCTGCCTAGGTTGATAGAGCACTCTTGATTGAAGGTAGTGAATTGACGACTTTAGTCGAGGAGTAAATTCACTATTCTGTATCGGATTTACTTTGGTAGAGAAGGTTTGGTTCGTTAGGGCCTCAATATGTTTACTCCGGTGGAGGTTAGTCGCCCGCTGGGGACTCAGATTGAGAGGGTCAGGAGACCTTTAGTCGAGACTGCAGACTGTTTAAGAACCTCCTGCAGTATAACTATCATTGAACTTGAACTTGGTAAATTACAATCCGGCTTAACTGCAGTATAGGGGGAACCATAACCGGGTGACCTCTCTCAACTTGCAAAACACCCTTTAACTGCTTTGCTTGTTTGGACCTTCACTACACTTTCACTACTAAATAATAAGAACTCACGGAGTAGTCATCACAATTAGGACCCGGGTTGACATTAAAACCCAAACCCGCTATACTACGCTCTAGTAGGTGGTTACACTTGGCCATTTTCTAGAGTGACGGTAGAAGCGAGTCAATTGGTCTCCTATATTGCATCCATTAGTCTAGGGAGTAAATTGTATGAGTCGTCCCAATCACCATACACCTCAGCCATGACCTTTTGCTTTCCATGCCATGCCTTCTTGTACCTAATCGTGTAGGAATGTCGACCCTTCACCTTGGCCATGATAGCTTTGATTTTGATATCTGGTTGTGCCTCGATCAAGTGCTTAATGGTTCTCCCCACTTTATTTGCTTTAAGTTGACGGTGATCCTGAAAGTATGGACGAGGAGCAGCTGGGGTTGTTCTCTATTGTACGAATTACCCAAGCACGCTTTCTCTTCATATTTGCAGCCCGTAGTTGCTGCATGCAACCCTCTCCAGCATTCTTGCATATGACATGTAGTTGTTTGCCGTCAGAATATTTTACCCTCCACTCGAAATTCCGCCGCATGGCTTCTTCGCTAAAAGCATCTTGAACAACGTCCTTCAAAGTGAACGCCATATACCCACCTCCAAATTGGTCTTCGGATTATACATTGGTATAGGGAGAAAGTTGGACGCATCATTCTGACCATATAAAAGTTGTGATGGAACCTCTGTGTAGTATGGCGTAGGTGGCTCATGGAACATGACCTCGTCGTCCGTATCTTCCTCACTCACTGATCTCAAATCTTTCTCACTTTCATCGTCGCTGTAGATTAATGGATAGCTCGGGCCAGGAGGATCATCGTTACCAGCAACACCAACATCGTCTTCTCGCTCATGGGAAGTACTCCCGAATCGAATGGTGTTCTCAATGTCAATCCACTCTGGCCCCCAAGCAGGCCATTGAACGCCTTCGGGCTCAACGAATGGGGTAGGCTAAGCACGTTGCAGGTATTCTTTCTATGGCACCCCTCCTGCAGAACTACCTCCTACGTAGTTGCTTGAACTACCACCCCATTGTACCCCCTGCAAAACCATCATGAATCTGGACAAATGTCGGGCAGTTCTTGCCACGTGAATCTGGACTCAATTCTCAACATAGTGGATTCACCATCTTCATAATCGATCCAAATGCCAGAGTTTGTCACCCTATAATTCCACTGAATAAGAAGCTGTAACTTTTTAAAGTTACCCATGTCTGCAATTTAATAGAAACATGTAGTATAATTAGTACTTAGGGCTAAACAAATATAATGCATAACATAATTTAGGGCTACAGAAATAATAGAATCCAAAACCATAAACATTCGCAATTAACTAATCGAAACATGTAGCCATATTGACATTACTATAACATGAGTATTCTAAACAAATTAATCTATGACCATGACTAGCTAACATCCATCTACCATAATTAATCAGAAGATCTATACCAAAACATACTTTTTTTTACGAAAAACCAAAACATACTTACTCCTAACAATAATTCATTCTATACAAACATATAACTACTAATATATCAACAATCTAGAGAATAACGAATTAAAATATACCTAAAATTGGAGTTTCTGTAATGAGGGAGGGGTTTGGCAGAATGGGGGACTAATTTCGTTCAACAGGTACTTAGGTGGGGAGAAAAACTTATTTATTTGACAGACAGCCTGCCTTCACCGCGGTTGTTTACAACGGTGAAGGCTAGGTTGTTGTCAACTAGAATTTCACCTACCGAGTCTGAAAAATGTGGCGATATTCACTCCGGTTATGTACAACGGTGAGTAGTTCACCGCATTCTAGCCCAACGGTGATGGTTCATTGTATCAGACGACAATAGTGAAGTCTTGATAAGATGTTCACCGTTTCTCTCAATAGCAGTGATTGTTACACTACAACGGTGAATGTCTTCACCGCCCTTAACAACTATAGTGAAGATGAAACATGTGTATATTGAGAAATATTGACTCGCTATGACACAACTCCTAACAAAGGCCAAGTGTAACCAATGAAATGGACTGCAGTATAGTGGCTCAAGTAATAAATATCGAATTCGCGGGTCTCTAGAGTTACTATTACTCAGCTTCAGTTCATTATCTAGCAAACCAGATTAAGATAGAATAACTAAAACTACTATAGCAAACTACAGTTGAAGTTAATCTAATTACAGGTTGGGAACTCACTTAGGTATGATTCCCCCTAGCCACTAGCCATATTAATGATTGATGATTTCTAACTTATTTCACTTTCATTCACAATGCGGATAATCCTTGACTAGACCTTGAATCTCAACTAAAGGATCAAGGCCCTCTTGAGTCGATTGCCTAGAGGGACGTATCCTTCTCTAGAACAACCGATCAAGGCGTTCTGAATTAGACTCCCTCTATCAAATGAGGTTCTCAGTCGATATAAAGCAGTGAATCGACCCTCGACTAAAGCAATCGATCCAATACTATCAATCTATGGTGCTCTATTGACCTAATCAGGTATTCGCTCTCATAGGATCAAAGCAGAATCAATAATCTCGACTAAAGCATAATTGAATCATGAAAACGTGCATAGATTGAATATGAACTCAAGATTATCTAGTAGGAGTACTCATACAATCATCCAATTAAACAAACATAGCTAGGGTTCCTCAAAACCTAAGTGAAGGGAAGTTACTCCATAGAGAAGAGAGAGACTGCAGTACGAATCTTCAGATGACCAGTCTTCAAGTCCGGGCTTGTTCCTCGAGCTTCCAAGGCAAAGAAATCCTCCAATTGTACTCCAAGAATGCCCTCAAATCACCCTCTCTCACTTTGGTTCGTCCCTTGGGTGTTTGGGATCTAAAACTCAGCTCCCTCTTTGCAAAAACGCACAAAACAGGCTTTTAACAGCTCGCGTTCGCGGTCCCCGGTCATAATCCCCAGTTGGGTATTTCGGGTACCCAGCCAGGGATTTCGAAACACAGTGCAGTGGTATAGGGGATAATACCCGATCGAGGTCAAGAATACCTGATCGGGTATTTTTGCTCTCTGGCCGGGACCCCTTCTGCCTTCTGGGCGTCCAAAACTGCTTTTCCCTGGCATCGCCTTGCATTTTACCCAGCCGGGTATTATTACTCATGGCCGGGTATTTTGCTCCTCCAGCACCCTTCTACTCCAACGTCCTCCTTTTCACCCGAAACCTATTTCCTTGCCTTCACGTCAATGCCAAGTCCTGAAATATGACATAAACACACAACCTAGCGTGAAATCGGCTTAAAACACGAGAATCAACATCTCAAACGGCTCAAGAGTAGGGGTATAAACATGTGTAGTTATTGGCCTATCAAATATTTTTATAACGTATGTATTTTGGGATTTTTTTAAGAACGTGTGTATTAAGGGAAAAAAAATCCCCAATGAACCAGGGGATGGGACCTGAGGTTCTTTGAATCCTAGCCTCCATCGCCAGCAATTAGCGATGAGATACAT